CTCACAGGCCTCGTATTCTAGAAAGGACAACCTTACACTTTATTGTAAGTATATTCTAGAAAGGACAACCTTACACTTTATTGTAAGTATATTCTAGAAAGGACAACCTTACTCTTTATTGTAAATATATTCTAGAAAGGATATCCATACACTTTATTGTAAGTATATTCTAGAAAGGACAACCTTACACTTTATTGTAAGTATATTCTAGAAAGGACAACCTTACACTTTATTGTAAGTATATTCTAGAAAGGACAACCTTACTCTTTATTGTAAGTATCTTCTAGAAAGGACAACCTTACTCTTTTATTGTAAGTATATTCTAGAAAAGACAATTTAACTCTTTATTGTAAGCATATTCCAGAAAGGATAAGTTTACTATTTATTGTAAGTATATTCCAGAAAGGACAACCTTACTCTTTATTGTAAGTATATTTTAGAAAGGATAACTTTACTCTTTATTGTAAGTATATTCCAGAAAAGATAATCTAACTCTTTATTTTAAGTATATTCCAGAAACGATAATTTAACTCTTTATTGTAAGCATATTCCAGAAAGGATAACTTTACTATTTATTGTAAGTATATTCCAGAAAAGACAACCTTACTCTTTATTGTAAGTTAAGATGATTTCCGATTACCTTAGTTCTTGGATATATATATATATTATGTAACATAATAAGCGAAGTCACGCTTTATAAACTGATGTAGAACTTGTGTTACTGATGTTAATAATTCATTTTAAGCTATAAATCCCAGCAAACGAATGCTTAAAACACTTTATTAAACTACTTACAGAAGCGAAGAATTGCACAAATGAAATGAAACGTTTTATCTTTTAATATTAGAAATAAACGACCTTATAACACAATATTGTCGTTTTTAATTAATTAGACACTCAACGTTTCGCTTTAAAGTTTCTTCAGGAACGTTTCACTACAACTCAAACCGTGACTGATAGTAGAAAGCTTTAGATGGTTTAAATAATAAATTGTAATCGAATCTATACGGTGCATTTCTGAATGAAGGTATTACTGAAATAATTTACTACTACATCTAATAAAAAAAGTTCTAACAAATTTACATAGTCATGTAACAAAAAGTTAGGACGAAAAAATAATTAAAATTATTGGTGCCATCTGTAGTCGTAGTTGTTCTATGAGAAGAGTTTTTTTTAATACTCTGTACTTGGTGGCTTTGGTGAGGATTTGTACAGCGGATGGTGGTTTGAAGTCAGGTGTTACTTGTCCAAGATTAGTCGAAATGTAATCTAAACTGCACTTGTTTCATGTTTTTGTTTACAAAGAGCGACAACATGTTTTGTTATCCTTGTGTATAAGGTTTTCTCTGTGTACGTATGAAGGCAGATGTTACATGTAAACTGGTATACAACACTCATCTTTAGATTGCAAACACGTTTTTGTAATACAGTTGGATTTATTATATTGTAGGTCAGTGTACTGAGGTTTTGAAAGTTTTTTTTTTTTTAGGGTTAGACCTGGCTGTTCTATAACTTTAATCGGCAGTTCAGATTTCCTGATTATAGTTTCTATTTTCTTGAAAATAGCTTCGTCAATTACAGATGTTAGTAAAATAATATATTTGGTTTTATCTTTGGAAAATCGTTTTTTTTCCTCCTTGTTTATCTATGTTTTCTCATGTTAGAGGTGCGATGCTGATTTTTGCGCGTCATAGTCGTTGAAAATGTGTTCGATATTCGTTGCTCAGAAGAAATTATTTTAGTTCAGAGCGTGTATTGTTTTTATTTTAGTTCAGAGCGTGTATTGTTTTTCACTTCAGTTGCGATCAATTCTGTTTAATTCTTCAGTAATTGCCCCTTTATTGGAAGCTTTGGGATGACGGTCGTTGAAGTTAGGGAAGAGATTGGCTGGTTTTGAATTTTGCGCAAAGCTACACGAGGGCTATCTGCGCTAGCCGTCCCTACTTTAGCAGTGTAAGGCTAGAGGGAAGACAGCTAGTCATCACCACCCACCGCCAACTCTTGGGCTACTCTTTTACCAACGAATAATGGGATTGACTGTCACATTATAACGCCCCCACGGCTGAAAGGGCGAGCATGTTTGGGGTGACGGCGATTCGAACCCACGACCCACAGACTGCGAGTCGAGCGCCCTAACCATCTGGCCATGCCGGGCCGGTTAGTTTTGTGCACATTTACCGAAATCAAACTAACATTATTTGAACATCTCAGCAGATACAAAGAATTTTCGTAGTGTATGTTAAATTCAAGAGATGGCGATGGTGTTGTTTAGGGCCCAAGGAAGAGAGGTTTTCTAATTCGTTTGTGAAACAAGCAAAATTGTCATTTTCGATCCTTAGCGTAACGTCATTCACGTGAATTATAGTGAATTGGATGTTGGGGTCTATGGAATTTAGAAGGTCTAAAAATTGTATTAAAAAAAGAAGACCGTGGTTACATAGTCCAAATACGTCATCGATGTGTCTAAGACAGTGATCAGGGTCGGTGTTGGTATTTTGACGCTATTTGTCAAGTGCCGTTGTTTCAAAAACGTGAATAAATATTAGAACATAAATAACAGTGCCTCTATTATCCACTGAGACACCACTGAGTTGGAGATATAGTTTGTTGTCAAAACGAAAATATCAATTATGAAGGATAAAATGTAAGATTTCTCTGACAGTGTCTATTCCCACTACATACATGATACATCTCCAAATTGATTATGTGATTCGACACTGACGCCATCTTCTCTCTCTATAGTATTGTCTGCGGACTTATAACGCTAGAAACCTGGTTTCGATACCCGTGATAGGCAGAGCAAAGATAGTCCATTGTGTAGCTTTGTGCTCAACTACAAACGAACAAACTGTCTGTATAGATGGCAAACAGCTACAATATCTAATGTAAAGAGTATTGTTATATTGGTCACTAAGTGAGGTACATTCTTTATTCATGATAGCAGGTCTTAGATGGTAGACAGCTACAACATTTAATGTAAAGAATATTGTTATATTGGTCACTAAGTGAGGTACATCATTGATTCATGATAGCAGGTCTTAGATGGTAGACAGCTACAACATCTAATGTAAAGAGTATTGTTATATTGGTCACTAAGTGAGGTACATTCTTTATTCATGATAGCAGGTCTTAGATGGTAGACAGCTACAACATTTAATGTAAAGAGTATTGTTATATTGGTCACTAAGTGAGGTACATTCTTGATTCATGATAGCAGGTCTTAGATGGTAGACAGCTACAACATCTAATGTAAAGAGTATTGTTATATTGGTCACTAAGTGATAGCAGGTCTTAGATGGTACACAGCTACAACATCTAATGTAAAGGGTATTGTTATATTGGTCACTAAGTGAGGTACATCCTTGATTCATGATAGCAGGTCTTGTGTAATATTTAAGTGGACTGGAACGTGATGTAGTAACGGCAACGGATGGCGCCTATAATTTTAATTATTTTATTTTTGTTATTTCAATCTGTAACCTTGTTAGACCTATTGTTTACTACAAGGAACAATTCATTATTTCAACAAAACAGTTTTTTTCAACAATAAGCTTACTACTTAATATGTGAAGCGCACGCTGTAGAAATGCATGCTATAGATTGAATTATAATTTATTATTTAAACCATTTGAAGCTTTGTACTGTTAGTTATAGTTTGTGTTTTAGCGGAACGCTCTCGAAGAAGCTGTTAAGCGAAACGTTGAGTGTCTAATTTAATAAAACAACAACATAGTGTTATAAGGTGGTTTGTTATATGCCTTCTATACACCAATATGCACTACAGAAATAAACGTTTTATCTGATAGACCTGATACAAGCCGTTCATTTAAATAGGGTTTTGAACAAATCAAAAGATTCACAAGAACTATGCATCTAATTTCTACGTTTTATGTAAAAGGACATTTCGTCATTCACGTGTAATGTTTTACTGGATTCACTCCTTTCAAGGCAGTATTATTTCTTTTTCCAGCCAGTACGTCCGGACCAGTCCTTTTCCCTTTTCGGAGAAAGAAATATAGGTTTTGTTAACTTTATCTTGGAACGTATTTGTAGATAACTCTACTCAGTTCTAAACAGTTTGAATTATTGTGTTATATGATTGCAACTACAAAACGACGACTAAGATATGTTCATTGATGTCACCAAATGTAGCTATAAGAAAATAGAATTTAACTGTTGAAACAAAATCAAGCTTGAAATATCTAAAGAAAAAATTATAAATCAAAGAAGTATAAAGATCCCAAGTTGTTAATGAAAAATTGATGTTTGTATAACTGTTTTATTGAAATACTGGTGATAAAATTCCAGTAGTCACGGATAATGAAAGATATATTAAACATTGAAATAAAACTTATATAAGATGTGGAGAAACTATGGTTTGTATTTTTGTCCAAATCTGCTAAAAGATTATTATTATTCCATATTTTGAGTATAAAAAGCGCGAGGGAAAGAAAAACTTTACAACGTTTAGTCGTTGGAGTTATTTAAAATCAGTTATTTGTTTAAAGTTTAAAATGAGAGCAAATGAAAGTCAACTGGCTATAAATATGTCTGGCTGAGAGAACCGTTTCCAAAGTAGTAGGAAATCAATTTTATGAAATAGCAATTAAAAATTTATTTTACTCGACTGTTTGTTATTTCATTTCTCCACTTTAATAATCGAGTTTTGAAATGAAAAAATTCAACATTTTTCAATCACATGTCTCGAAATAAAAGAAACTTCTCGAGAAAAGAGATTGGTGGAAGATAGAGTATTTTTTTCCCAACAAAGAAAAAAAATCAAAATTTAGATAAAGATTAATAAAACAAATCAAATGGTGTTTATTAGTTGTGTGACATAAATGTTTGTAGATATATATTTAGTAATTAGTCCTTCACTTTTAAATCTATTTATAATATTTTTACTATCTACACTCTTATAAATAGTACTTTTAAAATCCACTACCCTCATAATGATTAGGTTCAACTTGTTATATTTGACTATTAATCCACTATCTTCAGAATAATTAGGTTCAACTTCTTGTTATATTTGGCTATTAATCCACTATCTTCAGAATAATTAGGTTCAACTTCTTGCTATATTTGGCTATTAATTCACTACCTTCAGAATAATGCGGTTCAACTTCTTGTTATATTTGGGCAATTAATCCACTACTTTCAGAATAATTCGGTCCAACTTCTTGTTATATTTGGCTATTAATCCACTACTTTCAGAATAATGCGGTTCAACTTCTTGTTATATTTGGCTATTAATCCACTACTTTCAGAATAATG